ATGAGTGTTTTCTGTGATATCACGGTTGGGCATAAACCCAACGTGGTCTTGGTTAATAAAGAAAATCACTTCTATTGGTTTTAACCTGAGTGACCTTGTCATCCGGTCAGAGCTTGCGGTCTTTACTCTGCTTAAACAGAGGCTTATTGATATAGAGTTGCAAGAGCTCAGAGCCCTTGCCTCCGGAAGGTGCTCCTCAGTAAGGTGGGCCTATCCCCTTTCTGGTGCTCTACCATATTACTTTTTCTGCCTGACTTCACCGCAAATGTGTAGAGCTTATCTGTTGGCCCGTCTTAATGTTCTCCCCTCTGCTATTCTTGAGGGGAGATATAAGCAAATGCCTTATTCAGTCAGGTTCTGTGGATGTAATAGAAGAGAAATAGAAACTGTTGAGCACGTACTCTTACGCTGTAAATTGTTAAATGAGATTTGAGTGGAATTTATAGAAGCCCCCCTTAGGTTGGTAGCAGGCCAATCGGATAGAATCAAGGTACAATTTCTCCTTGCTTCACGAGATTCGGAGATAATTGAACTGACCGCTAAGTTTCTCCATGGTTTTATAAAACGGAAGAGTGACCCTGATCATATTAATGATTCTTAATTTATAAATCTAAAAACTTAAGTTTAAAAGTTTAGAATGCCAATTTATTTTATGATTCAGGCATCTTTTGTATGGTCAAATCTAGCTTGTATTCAGGGTATGATCTATAGACCACATCCAGATCGCTTAATAACGCTTCACGTTTCATACCTGTCATTGGGGCTAATGCTTGAGTCAAGATTTCTTTGAGATTCTCACCGCTTTGCTCTAGAACATCTTGAAACCTCAGCACATAGGCTGATTTTTCTGTTTAAAGCGTAAGGATTTGTTCTTTATCAGAAATTCTTTCTTTTTGTAATCAGTCCACTTTTTGATCAAGTACAGATGTTTAAAAAACCTTTTTGACTGCATTAGAGTTCTTTACCATCTGTTTTTGGAGTGTTTCTAAATTTTGGTTGATTCACCATTTGGTCCAGTAGGGGTCACAGTGCTACAGCTAACAGGGCTGAGAAGGCTGTACTGGCTTCCGGTTTCCCTCCCGGAGATGACGTTTTGCCAGCACCTGAAGGAAGCTTCCTCAGCGCCATTTTTTCCTGTCCCGGGAAGTTTGTAAGAGTTCTTAAAAGAGGTTATCGTTGTTCGCTTTGCGTGGCAATGCACTTGCTCATTCAAATAATGTTTTTCCGGACTCATTCCCCCATTCCATTTATAGTTTCGGTTTTGTTGGGGGGGGGATATTGCTCCCTTCCCTATCGCTGGTGGGGGGTGGGTATCGGAGCCTGTTTAAAAGTTCATGCGCTTGATGCAAATTCACTCATGTTTCTTCCGGTATCGTTAAATTGCCGAGATGTCTAGCATTTTTGCTAAAACTCCTGAACGCTCAACCGGTGTGCGCCTCTAGGTATCATGATGGCACCACGGCAGTAGGACCTTCGGGACAAAGTGTGCCTCAATCCCTTGGCATCGTGCCTTGGGAGCGGCACTACTCGAGCCCCATGGCTGAGAGGTCCTCTACGGGGGCCCCAGGGGGGAACCGGCACAGCTGGATCCCCTCCTAGCCGTCGCGAAACAGGCTGCACGGTACGGAGCACGCCGGTGCACGCCTGCTAGGTGAGGAGCCGAAACCAGAACCTCTCACTGCTTCTTCCACTGCAGTCCAGGTTGGCTGGGTTCATCTGGACTGAGACCGCCGGGAGCTGTGGTGTCCAGAAAGGGGTCAGGACAGACTCTGGCATCCCCTTCCAGCCACCACCACCCCTCAAGTCACGGGCCAGGTTTACGAGAAAGTAACTCCCTGCCGAGACCAGGTGCTGCTTGGCTTGTCACAGCCAGTTCTCGGCACACTGCTGCCTGTCCCACAACAGCCCCTTGGACTGGGGTGCTGGCAGCTCACAGCCGCGACAGGTGACAGCTCTGGTAGAGGAGCCAATCCCGGGAACAGGCCCTAAGCGAAGACGTCTTTGTATGAACTCCTAGAGAAAGGCTGGGGCTCAGTGGCAGAGCCTCTGCTGGGCAGGCAAGAGGCCCCCGGTTCAATCCCTGGTCTCTGCAAGAGACCCTGGAGAGCGGCTAACAGTCAGAGTAGTCAAGAAGCACACTGATGGACTGATTCAGTATACTACTAATAATAATAATAAGAGATTGGATTTATACCCCACCCTTCACTACCCAAAGGAGTCTCAGAGTGGCTTACAATCTCCTTTCCCTTCCCCTCCCCACAAGAGACACCCTGTGAGGTAGGTGAGGCTGAGAGAGCTCTGACAGAAACTGCTCTTTTTCAAGAACAGCTCTGAGAGAACTTGTGACTGACCCAAGGTCACACCAGCAGATGCATGTGGAGGAGTGGGGAATCAAACCACTACACCAAACTGGCTCTACACCAAACCACTACACCAAACTGGCAGCTCTTTTCTTCTGTGAAAACCTCCACTGGACAACCAACAACGAAGAAGCACAGGGATGGGGGAAAAATCACATCAGCCGCTTGCTTCTGGAATGGGCAATTCATTATCCCTTCATCATTTACACAAGCCCCAGAAACCAGGTGGGGAAACCTCTCCCCGTGAAATCCTTCTGGGATGAGTCCCAGGGGCTCCCTTGCAAGGCGTTATCTGCTTGCGTGAACGAATTACCTTCAAACGGTCCACCCAGCCTTCTCCCACCATCACCCGTTTCCCCCGGGGGGCCCTCTTGTCCTGGCTTGGGGGAAGCAGAGATTATAGAAGGAGCTGCCTTCGAAGAAACTCAGCTCCCTCCAACAAACCCAGCCCCCGCCTTGCAGCTTATCCCGTGTCAGGGGCCCTGACGTCCCGTAATAGTGAGGATCAAGAACCAGGAGATGGGGTCCTTTGGGGCCAGAGCAGACGCCTAACAACGCCTTGGCAGAGTGGTCTCTGTCTCCTCCCACCATAACAGGACCCCCGCCTCCCTGGAAGTGCGTGTACAAGGACCCCAGTTCCTTTTCCAAGTCTCTGCCCCGGTGAACGTGGACCAGCCTGCCCGGCACCGCATACAAGTGGTCCATGCAGAGGGCTGCTTCCACCGTGCCGATCCACTCCCGAGATCTGGAAAACGAAGGGGGTTTGTCCCCCATCTCCACCAGGGCCTGCTGGATCTCCCTCAGCGAAGGGACACTCCGGGCCACCAGCCCTTCTGGGCCGGCCTCCAGCAGCCAAGAGCAGATCGTCTGCAGCGTACGGTAGCCGCAGCCCCAGCCGCGGTCGTCCACGCCATCGCAGCCATAGTGGTAATAGCGGTACGAGCCAGAGATGAGGGCCAGCCAGTCCGGAGGGGCCGGCAGCGGGAGACCCAAATGGACATCAGAGGGCAACTGCATCCGAGAGAGGCGGGCCTGCGGACAAAGAGGAAACGTGAGGACAGGGACTTGTGGGGAGGCACAGGCTACGCCGGGGTCCCCAACCTGGTGCCCATGGGCACCACGGCATCCACTGGCACCTTCTGAGTGTTTTGTGAATGTGGGCGAGGCCAGGTGGGGCGCAAGCCCAACAGGGCTTCTGACTGGCCGCTGAGGATCTATTTGGCCGTGCAGATTAGAATACCAGTGGCAACCACTGTAGGAAAGCAGTGCGGAAATCTCCTGGCTGGAGGTTGGGAGCTGAAATGCTTATACGTCATGAGAGGCCGAGATGGAATCTGTTTACTGCTAACTACGCAGTGAGTTAGCCTTGAGAAAGAGGGGGAGGCAGATAACAGAGAGCTTGCCTGAGAGAACGAGAACACACACACACACACACAAACATTCCTTAAGGATGCTCTAATGCTTGAAGGGGGGAAAAATGTGTATAAAATAAAAGCTTGAAGCCGAGAGGTTTCAGACAGTTCCTGACAGTTCCTGCAAGCTTGTCTCCTGTCGTCTTTGTGTCGCCTGCACCCCACACCCTAACGAGCAGCACCGCAAACCACAGTCTTTGTTCTATTCTCTCTCACCCCCTTCCTGATGTATTTTTTAAAATTACGCCTCTTCTCCCCTGTGCTTGGGCTTCTTCCACACGTGGGGCTCTGACTCCTGCGGAGGTCATTTTGTGGTTCCACCCGCCTTCCTGTGTCAAAATTCCACAGGGTCAGAAATGCTGGGTTAGGGCTACGCTCTGAGAGAGCCAGTTTGGAGTAGTGGTCAAGTGCGCGGACTCTAATCTGGGAGAGCCGGGTTTGATTCCCCACTCCTCCGCTTGCACCTGGCTGGATGACCTTGGGCAAGCCGTAGTTGTGATGAGAGCTGTCCTTGAAAAAGGGCAGTTTCTGCCAGAGCTCTCTCAGCCCCGCCTCCCTCCCAGGGTGTCTGTTGTGGGGTTTGTTGTTGTTGTTCAGTCACACAGTCGAGTCCAACTCTTCGCGACCCCATGGACCAGATCACGCCAGGCCTTCCTGTCTTCCGCTGTTGTGGGGAGGGGAAGGGAAAGGAGTTTGTCAGCCGCTCTGAGACTCCGAGTGGAGGGCCAGGGGTATAATTCCGACCTCTCCTTCTTCTGAGACTGGCACTTCTCAGGTCTCTCCCCCCCCCCCCAATCCCTTCTTCCACTCTCCATTCTGGGCAGGGGGACTCACCCGCCCCTC